AATATAACATATAATATCATATATTATATATCATATATTATCTATTATATATATTATATCATATATATTACAGTATATATATATAGTTTAATTATATATTATATTATGACACAATTTCAGTTCGGAGCATCTTTGCCAAAGACTTGATTTGGTAAGCTCTATGTGGCACCCGGGAAGGCTTCAAGCAATGCGTGCAAGCTACTGCTCGTGGTGGTGGTGGTGGTGAAAGTGGTACTGGTGGAACTCGTGAAAGAAGTGAGGGTTCGAGTTGTGGTCTGTGATGTACGTGGACGTGTAGTCGTGGCAGGGATGGTTGTTACGACCTGGTTGTGTCAGTCTGGAATGTGCAGCAATATCATCAATATAACATTGTGTCAGTCCTTACTAAATTGGATGGACTGCAACAGAGTCAGACAACAGCTGTTCAATGTGCGGCACCGTGCGCTGGACTCTGCTACTTTACCATATCGACAATAGATACTAAGAACCTCCAAGAACGTCAACAAAGAGATGACCAAGCACAAGCAGGCCCATCTGACACTGGCCTGTCGGGTAGTCTGGGGCGTATAGAACTTCATGGCTCTGTCTTCAGCCCACTCGGTCAAGTTACCCACATCTTTCAGGAAGAGCAGATCCCCCCTGACAGAAGCATACTGGATGGGACTCTTACATCACAACAATTCACAACACATAGACTTTCACTTCAGTATTGCGCCTGTCGTAGCCCATATGAAGTCCAGCAAAGACATTCATCCGCCCCTCCAGTGTAAACGCTTCATCTTCAATGAATTCAGCCACCAAAGCGTCGTCAAAGCGCGGGATGAAAGGCATGGCTGTGATGCCAGAGTCCTCGACCACATGGTAGACCTGAAGCCATAATTACCAAGACGAAGACAACTTCAAAGCACAAGAAAAACAGAAAACAGCAAGAGGAAAACAAAGAGATTGCATGATAGCTGAGGCAGAATATGGCAGACTTGCAGTAGTGCCAAACAAGAATATGAGCACAGGTTGAGAACATCAAAACAACTCTCAAATAGATTCAGATGGACCAGTGAAGCTCAAGACTGCCAACTTTGTGTACATGCCTTTGCCCCTTAGCTCTGGCGTCCCATGTTCAAAATGCCAGGTGACCCATGTACCATCCGGCATGTATGAGACACAAACGAAGGGATCTTGCCGTTCTAATGGCTCCACTGGGTGCGCAGAAAACCTTGGCTGAAGAGATTTGTGGCAGCTTCAGGACCTTTGCATTGGGATAAGATGGGATAAGGACTGTCTCGAACGGCTTTTTTTCCCATAGGTTCATCCCCAAAATCGCTTTAGCATACAAGTCCATCTGCATGATTTTGCCGACAGTTGCTGTCCTCTTGGCCAAGCCACATGACAAAGCTTCGTCTCGCTCGCGCTGCCAGAGAAGTGCTGCATCGCACTCTGCCAGGCCATGTCCAGGTTGGGATTTGATGCCTCCATGGAATTCAGCTGAAGTGACGAAGTGACGAAGTCACAGCTCGGGAAGAATACATCGGTGAGTGAATTGAGTGAATTGATACTGAATAGTTACCAGTTGCCAGCGACAAGACCAAATTTGTTAATGAAGCAAATAGCTACATCCCCCTTGTACGAGCACCATCCAAAGAGTCCATGCAACACAAACTGGAGAAGCTTGTAGTACTAAGAAACAAAACAAAGAAGGTGCTCTTCAGATTTTAAACTCATCACATCTCATCACATCTTTCCAGTTGTGAAATACAGTTTGTGAATGCGATAAGTTGAAACATATGGAACAATTAATTAAATGAACAATTCTTGTGACAGTGATATCAAATATATTACTAATCTGATTCATTGAGATTCTAATGGAAGATATGGAAGCCATATGGAAGCTGGGATCAACCTGTAAAACACATGCTTTACATTCAGCTGCTTCTGACGAGGCACGTGAGAAAGTTTCGCCGCTTCTGACGGCTGGCGAAGCCACAGCGCAGCTCTGCCACCGGTCGGAAATGCGAACCCAAAACGCGCAGCCGAGTGCTGTGTCCATCCACAACCTGACACTGGTTCAAGCACCAGCTCCAATCCACGGAACAACCACGGCTAATACACGGTGAATAAACCTCTAGGCAATTCATGGCGATTCTATATGATTCTATATTATATGTCCTTTTCATTGTACATTTATATATGCATTTATATGATATAAATATGCATTTATATGAATTTATAATAATTTATATGCAGTTTACATTCACCTGTACGTGTAGGTCATCAGAAGATAAGTATCAACTGCATCCAATAAAGGCCGACCTTCGCTTAACTTCGCTTCCTGCCTCACGAGGATGAACTTCAAAGAGGTCCAGCGGCTCCACGTACTCCTTATGCGACAGATCGTTTGACTCAAAAAGACACAGTAGAATGATATATATATATATATTATATATTATATATGATATGAATTGATATGAATATATATATATATATGATATGAATTGATATGAATATATATATATATGATAGGAATTGATATGATATGATGATATGATGATCAAAGCCAAACAAAACATAAATTCCACTCCAGAAAGGGAGACTCATTGGAGTTGACATCAAAAGTGAGCACCACCATTTTTTGCGAAAGGCGCCAGTGCCTATATGTGGTGCCAGAAGCCTAATCATAACTACATTCATGAAGCCACCAGCATCACCCAGTCACAGTGGGCATCATGCAAGACTAGCATTCAAACTTCAAACACATTCAAATGCACTGCCATCCATTGCAATCCATTGCCATCCATTGCAATCCAAGCTTCCAATTCCAACATGCCTTGGTGTCTCACTGTCAGTTCACCAAAAGCATCCTCATGCATCAGAAAGACGCGTCCAAAGCCGACTGTGCGACTTGGTGAAAAGCACCGTAGCTCCATGGGAGAGATTCGGCGGGCTCGGTCAACCTCCAGCACGCCTTCAAAGCCACACCTGGGTGCGTAAGAACCCACAAGAGTATATCTGTCCAAAGAGTATACTAGTTCATTCCAAAAAGATACAAATGATACAGTTCGTAAAAAAAAAAACAAAAACAAACTGTTCCTAATTTATCCTGGCATGTTGGCCGCTACTTATTGGCTATTGGGAAATGTTGCTAGTTCTTGTCCCAGAACGAAACATGAATGATGGATCTCAAAGACCATCAGGCTTCAAATCATGTGCGAGTCTTGAAACCTGAAGCATGAACAGGATTGAAAAGGAGTACTGACCCAACAAAAAGGTCACCAAGCCAGCTTCCAAGGCTAAAGTATGCCAAAAAAGAGCTGAGCGATGCTTTCCTTGTGGCTCAACAAAAATCTCAAGGTGGATGGCGGAGGGATGAGTGATTTTTTTGGGTGGTTGAGGGATGGTAGTTTCATGTAGTTTCTGACTTGCTACTGGTAGCCTTGGCCGCCTTGGCCGCCTTGGCCGCCGTGGCCCTTTCGGCTTGTTTCACTATGTTTCACTATGTTTCACTGCCTGGGCGCCACAGGTCATCTCCGGGAAAATCGCCATAGATGGACAGCTCTGCACCACCATCGACATGAACCAAGTTGGGATTGATCCCTGCCAACATGTTGGCCTCGGATCGGAGACCTTTGACATCCGACATCCGACAATACACGTTAATACACATTAATACACATTAATACACATTAATACACATTAATACACTAGTCAGTCATTGCAAGTAATTTTTCCAGTGAACTCGTTAAGATCCGTGTTGCAGATCGATCCCGTTGCTGTCAAGACACATTGGTGTTGTATTGAATCCGAAAGCCGGTGACCATCTCGTCGACCATCTGTTGCTCACCACAAGGTTCAACCTGGTCAAATGGTGGAAGTGTCTAAGGCAACAGATCGCTGATACAAAAGTGCATTCAAATGATTTTTAACGAGTCGAACCTGTTTCAACAAAGCTGATAAGAAAACAGAAAACATACCATTTTTGACACGCTTGGTAGCTTTAGAAGGATGAACACTGCTGGCAAGCTAGGTTGATCCTGTCTGGAAAATTGGTAGCACAGATGAAACCAAAAGCACGGCTTTTCCAGGGAGATGTATAATTATACTGTATACAATAGTACAATAACTTCCTGAGTGATTCTCCAGAAAATGTCTGCTCCTGCACCCTGCAAATGCTAAATTCCCAGCCTCATTGATGCACAAAGGAGGAGGTGGAACTGTATCACTTTGGTTGCTGATGGTAGTACCTGACAGACAATGGCTCTTTCATGTTCCCGGATATGTCATTCTCCACAGGACTTCCAAAAGGCCGTTTCCCGCTTTACCATGCTTTACATGGGTCAGCGGTCCCTGGCCTGGACTGATCGTCTCACTTTGGTTCATCTGGTCCTTCAGCAATGGGTTGATAAGTTGTGTTTTTTTTTGCAATTTGTGCGAACTCAAGATGAAGAGCAAATTGAGCGTTGCATCTTGACAAATTGCTGTGAAATAGTTGCGCCAACAACGTAAGTCCTCCATTGAGCGATTGATGCACCGAGTACGTTCCTGCCATGGCGAGCTTATTTGCTCTGTGCATGAAAAAACTCAACACAAAAATACCAAGGGCGATGCTTAGGAACAAGGCCAGAGTCTTTCAAGGATATTCATATTGGAAGCAAGAGCTACTTGCGATGTGATGGCGACCCTACTTGCAGTCCAAGTGAGGGAGTGTGAGGGCTGCCAAGCTCCAAACAACAGCGCATCAACAGCGCATTCATCCAATTGATATAGATTGATATTATTCTCTATCATTACTTATCACTCTACAATACAGCTTTTCCCTCCAGGCACTGATAAAGCACCTCTCTGGGAATGATTGGAACGTTGGAGACCTGGGCCAATTCAGTGACCCTGGCCACATCAGTGAATAAGATATCATCTCAATCATCTCATGGTGACAGTGGTGAAGAGTATGGAGATCGGCCCAAAGTATGGAGCTTTGCTGATTGAAATATATCGTCCAGTCGTCCAGGTAAGTCGAAGCATTGAGGTTGCGGCGTCAACTTCAGAAGTGAAAAGGAATGTAAGGTTGTTGGGCAAGGCGTTGTATTCCCGCTCCCTTGGGTGGAAAGGCCAGTATGCAGCACGCAACTGGTACTCAAGACCCCAATGAAATGAGCATGTCCACACGCCTGGACTGTATTGAAACATATTGAAACATATTGAAACATATTGAAACATATTGAAAGATATTGAAACATATTGAAAGATATTGAAACATATTGAAACATATTGAAACATATTGAAACATATTGAAACATCAAGAGTACCATCAAGAGTACCAATTGTGGACCGATGCATCTTGAGCTGGGCCACGTCAGACTGCAACGAAGCATATTTTGAGAAGTTTGGATCGCAGGGAACAAGACCTCGAGTCGAATCCGACATCTCGGCAGACTGTCACGGTCCGGTTCCGGTCCTGCTGTCCTGGTTCTCGACTGGAGTCGAGTTCTCCACACACTTTTAACACCAAATTGTTGAGGAAAAAAAAACTTGAAATCCCATGAAATCCCCACCGAGTTTTCGGCCAAAGTTTGGTTGGCCAACTCCATGATACATTGAGGCCTTGGATTCAGTACACAGCTGCAGGACAAAAAATTCAAGGGCCCTCAACACCAGCAAGGTGTTTAAGCTTCCACGCTCCAATGAGGGGTGCAAATGCCGACCTTGTGCATGCAAACCACGTCGTCCAGCGTTGCCTGCATATTTAATTAGGCAGCTTGGACAATGGCACTCATGTCATCTTCGCCTTCTGAAAGCATTCAGATGAACTGTAGGCATCGAAAGGTGCAAGACATGCATCAAAGTCAGTCAGGAGCGATACGCACAAAAATGAACACCCACAAAACAATACAACTTCGATGCACCGTAGCACTGAGGTGATAAACATGAACATGTATTATAAAAAGTATTTATATGACATTGCGCGTGTATGCAAGATATTGCAAGATTTCATAAGATTTCTGAGTTCGAAAGCACGACTCAAGCCAGATTTAGCAGCCTGCTGGCCAAGCCATTGACACTGTGGGTGCCGGAAAGATAGCAATTCCTTAGATGCTGTAGGTCTTTGATGGTCATTGTAGGTCGCTGAAGCAGCTTTTGAGCGACATTCCTATGCGGTGCTCGCGCCGAGAGACGGCTGTGCCAGTGAAGGAAGCGAGGCCGAGGAGACATTCGATCTGCTAAACCCAACCTGGCAAATGCAACAGCTGAAGAAGGTAAATAAGGTAAGAGTTTGAAACTGAGATGGGTTATGATGGGTTCCCAAATGTTCCCAATCAAGAATCGTCATGATATTTTCTTGAGCCTTGACTTCTTGCCGTTTGAAGATGCAACAGGCATCGAACATGCCAAGCTTGACTCCACGTAGACATTGGACAAAAGCTGGTCTTGTCCTGGGTGTCTCAGCATTTCCAAGCCACCACGTTACTGGCAAAACAGCAGCAATCCTGGTGGGACAACAGGACGGCCATGGCCAACACGTGGAAACCACCCTGAGTGACACAGTGACAGAAGTTCTCTGGTCCGGATTCTGGGCATTGTTTTCGAGCTTGTTCAAGAAACGGCAACGAAGACTTGCTTGACATGATAGAATCCAAGAATTGATCCATCAAATAAGCGTGAATCGTCCGGTGTCACAGTCGAATCTAGTTGTTCAGCATGCACTTGGCTCCTTCGACTTATCAGTAGCAGGTGCATTTATCATTAACTGTCTGAATCTGTTTGATTTCTCCCTTTTTCACCACTCAGTGCTGAACGTGCCAAGCCAGCTTCCGACGTAGCAAGCAAGCGCAAGAAAAGGATCCTGGTCTTGATGCTGATCTGTGGGAAGGGTAGCATTTGAATCGTTATCCCAGTCGATGTCCATTGTCAGGATATATATATATATATGTATATATATATATATATGATCCATATTGGTTCGAATGCTGTCAACAGTTGCTTCAAATGTACTGCGGTGGGTCAAGGAAGGTGGCGGTATAATTAATAACCGGGATCGCTTTTGTCAGAGATTGATTTGCCTTGGAACGAATTCGATCTGCGACAGCAGTTTGTCAATATCGAGTAGGAATCCAATGAACAAGCACGGCATACCTATATGTATAACCAAGACAAGACAGTTGCTATATGTTGCTATGGTGCATGCATATATATATATATATTACACACATATATATATATGATATGTGTATATATATTAATATAACATATAAATGGTATATGTGCATGCTCTGAAATTCAATGACAATTGGGTTGCCCGTGTCACGAACCTGTCGCAAGAGCTCTGGCTGCAAAGACTCCAAGCAAAGGCAGCCGCTTCGGAGAAAGCCTGGCGTACCTTGGCACTGCGCAAAGAAAACAATGACGAACCAAGGACAAACTCATTGTATCATATCTATTCATATCTTATCTATTTCTAATCATGTTTGGCGAATTTAGATTTATAGCAACTTCAATAAGTCTTTGTATGTCATCGTACATATGTTACATCCATACCCACTGCCTTCATCGACTTCCTCCCGCCATCTGCTGCGCATGTGAAACTGGTGAAGGGACATCTCAGTCGAATGTCAAAATTCAAGGTTTGCCTTTTCCTCAAGTTGTATCCTAATGTTCTAACAGCCTCCGTTTCCACCGCCCATCGATCCTCCTGCTCCACGATGTAGCTGTAGTTCAATGGGCTCGACTCGAACGCTGCAAAGAAGTCTTTGATCTGACAAGGGCCAGCCGAAGATGCGCAAAGTCGCAGCAAACACCGCAACACCGTAACGCCACATGTGCAAATGAGATCAAATGGGTTTGTCTGAAAATGTCGTGTACCCCTACACCCAATGATTTTGCTGATCATTATCCCTACTAAATGGCTATAATTGGGGGTATACCCCATTTTCAGACATACCCAAATGAGATTCCACAGGAAGTTTCTTGCCAGACTGCCATGGAGCCTTGCGACATGGCGCGCCTTTGGGACGTGGCAGCTGGCGAGGCTGTCATTCACAGGATCCAGGAAGGCTTTCGTGTCGAAGTACACCATGCTTCCAGGATCCACTTCTCTTCTCCTGGCAACTGTTCTTTGAAAGGAAATCACCAAGATGTGTTTTGAAGGTGTTTTTTCATGCCAAGATCTTCAATTCATTTCAACCTAAAAAGTCTGAATGACACACAGCGACAGGGGAAAATCACACAGCGACAGAACATCATTGCGTTACTCTGGCCATCTCTGGCCTTAGCTTGTCCAGTTGGTCCAACAAACGTCGCTCTTCGCCCAGGAGGTCCGGCAAATCTTAGAGCGCTTCAGGTGCTTCATGTCGGCAATGACACAAGTCAAAATGGCGTAGCCATTTCAGGGATCACTATGGATTAATCATGATTAATCATGATCATGCGATTAATCATTTTGAATCATTACCCATTTTGACCCATCTCCCAAGTCTAGTTCATTGAGTCTCGTTGAATCAATGGATGTGAATTCTTGCAGCAGCTTTGGGGCTTTCGCTGGTCGAACTGTCAGGCGTAACCTTGCCGGTCATGTTCTCGAAACACCAGCCTGAAACGAAGTCAAGCAAACAATGACACCTTAATTCTCAAGTCACGCAGTGGTGAGGAATCAGGGAAAGCTTGCCGGAAGTGCGAATTCTTACAATGAACTTCGGACAGTCATGGTGTGCCACACCATGCCACAGGCTGTCACAAGAGCCCCAACACTTTTCTGTCGGTCTTGTCATGGAAACATTGCTGGGAAATGCTGGGGAGCCTTGGTAGTCCTCGTTGATTCCATCACGCAGTGTGTCGCTCAAA